TCACTTTTTGTTCAACAACTATTCAGAGATTCGTTTTCGTTTTCGAGTTATTTGCATAAGAGATATTTAGGGGCCAACCCTTCAACTCTTTAATGGGGACGTTTAACAAAAAATGAAAGACTGCATATTGTTAAGAACATTATTTTGAACATCTTTTGTGTAATATTACTTATCAAAATATTTCCCACTTTTGAGATATAAAACGTCAAAACTTCGGTATTTTGGTCTTTGTGGCCCCTTATTATGTACTATTCGACATTAAAATCATAATGTATAGTTGAAGATTGTTAAAATAAACATTTTTGTTTCAGTAATGTATAACAAAATATTGACTGCTAAAGAGTTATCGATTGAAGACTTTTGGCCCCTCTCGGCCTTTAATATTAGGGATCAGCCCCTTTTTCTGGATTTCATTTTAAACCTCTTAGGATTTTTTTTGAATATTTTTTGTTCAACAACTTTTCAGAGATTCGTTTTCGTTTTCGAGTTATTTGCATAAGAGATATTTAAAGGCCAACCCTACAGCGCCTAATGGGGACGTTTAGCGAAAAAGGAAAGGTTGCATATTGTTAAAAACATTTTCTTGGACATCTTTTGTTCAATATTACCTATTAAAATATTTCCCACTTTTGAGATATTAAGCCTCACGAATTTAGAATTTTGGCCCCTTAGGGCCCCTTATTATGTACCATACGACATTGAAATCATAATATGTAGTTGTAGATTGTTGGGATAAACATTTTTGCTTCAGTAATGTATAACAAAATACGCGGGTATGTTAAGGCAGCACATGCATCAGAATTCTGCGGATTAACACTTTTTTTAATAATATGTCACACTAATAAATCGCAAAAGTCATGGATAAATATTTTGTTATCATTATGCATTCTATAGACGTAAATGACACATATACTACAAGAGGCACTACACAACGACGTCACCACGTGACGTCTATAATTAGAAAAAAATGTCTTAATGATAAAAAGAAAAGTTCAACACTACTCCGGGGATAATTAATTTCAATTTGTTGTCATAGTTATGTTAAAACATCTCTGTACCATAAAAAGTGCTGCTAGAATCCTACTGTCCTATCAAAGAAATTAATATTCAACACTTTCGAAGGAAACTTCCCAAGATTTTTACATTTTGTTCATAACATCGAAAAAAATGCATCAATTCCTGTAAACCATACGATTCTAGCAGCACTTTCCAAAAACAATAGAATAAGAACTTTAGATAGAAACAAAAATTAGGTTACAAAGTATGCGGCGTAAAGTTGAACTTTTGCATTTTTTTACTACGAACGACAGAAGAAAGGCTGATCAGCAAGTAAACTCCCTTTCTGCTTTTATTTTACGAAGAAACTGTAGAGCTATATAAGCATACCTTATTCATAAGCTTTATTACCACATAAATCACAAATGATATTCATTCTAAATGCTTTTAAACTCCGATTTCGTGTGTTTGTTTACGTGAATTCTCGTTACATTTCACTTTCACTCTGCTACTTCATGATCAACAGTTATGACGTCACGGGTTTGGTCTTTAACCTCTATGATAAATACTGAGACCTAGATATGAAAATTTTCCGTTTATATAATGCCTATGAATATTTTGATTCAATTTACGACCTCAAATCAATCTTAGATATCGATTTTAAGAAATTGTTATCTCTGAAACTTCACGTTGTATAGTTTACTATGACGTCATACCATACAGGCAAGTAGATTTTTTGGTTGTAACCTTAACATACCTGCGAATTGACTGCTAAAGAGTTTTCGATTAAAGACTTTTGGCCCCTCTTGGCCCTAAATTTGAGTGTCCAGCCCCTTTTTCTGGATTTCATTTTAAACCTTTTAGGATTTTGAACACTTTTTGTTCAACAAATATTCATAGATTCTCTTTCGTTTTCGAGTTAATTGCAAAAGAAATATTTAGGGGCCAACCCTTCAACTCCTTAATGGGGACGTTTAGCAAAAAATGAAAGGTTGCATATTGTTAAGAACATGATTTTGAACATCTTTTGTTCAATATTACTTATCAAAATATTTCCCACTTTTGAGATATAAAGTCTCAAAAATTTAGTATTTTGGCCCCTTATTGCCTCTTATTATGTACCATACGACATTGCAATCATAATATATAGTTTTAGATTGTTGAGATAAACAATTTTGCTTCAGTAATGTAAAACAACATATTTACTGTTACAGAGTTATCGAATAAAGACTTTTGGCCCTTCTCGTCCCCTAATGTGATGAATCAGCACTTTTTTTCTTGCCCCTATATTAAAGATCTTGTCATTCTGCACAAATATTGCTCAGTAAGTTTTAACAAAATAATTTTACTTCGAAAAATATGATGCAAAATGTTTCCAAAAATCTGTCATGATTCGTGTCCTAAATTTCGACCCCTACCGAGCTTCCATACTAGGCACTTCCGGAAAATATCCTGACCATGTTGCAATATGGCAACATGTCCTCTATCATTCCTGAAAAAGATCAGCTTTCTAGCTTGAGCCGTTTTTGAGTTCCATCACAGACAAGGAGGTCATCAAAATTTCGATCAAAGGGCGATAACTTCCGACCGAAAGTAAATTTCAAAAATTAAAAAAGGTATAAAGTTTATATAAAGATACACCTACTCCGAGAATTTCAAGTAAATCGGTCGGGCCATATCCGAGATATCTTCTGCACAAAAATTGTAAAGAAAACAAAGAATAAAAACTAGATACGACCTCATTGCGAGCAACGAGTGGGTCTTCTGTCCGATTCTTGATGAGATTTTGATTGGGATTTTCATTCTAAAATAATAATTTTCCATAATCTGCATTAAGACATTGAACATTTATCGAATTTTGGACCCTCACGGCCCTTAACATTAGGGATCAGCTCTTTTTTCTTCATGTCATCTTAAAGCTCTCAGAATTTTCATATTTCTTTTCGCTGAACAACTATTCAGAGTTATTTGCATAAGAAATATTTAGGGGCCAACCCTTCAAGTCCCTAATGGGGACTTTTAGCGAACAATTAAAGGTTGCATATTGTTTAGAACATTATTTTGAACATCTTTTGTTCAATAATACTTATCAAAATCATTCTCACTTTCGAGATGTAAAGCGTCAAAGATTAAGCATTCTGGTCCCTTGTGACCCGTAATTATGTAATGTAAGACATAAAAATTATAATATATACCGGTTGTTGTACATGGTTGAGATAAACATCTTTGCTTCAGTAGTGTATCACAAAATAATAACTGATGAAGAGTTATCAATTGAAGAAGTTTGGCCCTTTTTGGCTCCTAATTTGAGTGCCCAGTCTTTTTTTCTTGATATCACCTTAAAGGTCTTAAGAATTTGAACACCTTTTGTTCAACAACTTATCAGAGATTCATTTTCATTTTCGAGTTAATTGCAAAAGAAATATTTAGGGACCAAGCCTTCAACTGCTTTATGTGGACGTTTAGCGAAAAATGAAAGGTTGCATATTGTTTAGAACATTATTTTGAAAATCTTTTGTTCAATAATACTTATCAAAATAATTCTCACTTTCAAGATATAAAGCGTCAAAGATTAAGCATTCTGGCCCCTTGTGGCACCTAATTATGTAATATACAACCTAAACATTATAATATATAGTTATAGATTGTTGAGATAAACGTTTTTGCTTCAGTAATCTATAACAAAATACTGATTGCTAAACAGTTATTGAATTAATACTTTTTGCCCCTCTTGTCCCTTAATGTGATGTGTCAGGACTTTTCCTGATATCATATTTAAGATCTTGACATTCCCCACAAATTTTGTTCAGTATGTCTTAACACAAAAATTTTATTTTAATAAAAGATATGATACAAAATTTTTCGAAAATTCACTCATGATTTGTGTCCTATATTTTGACCCCTACCATATTGGACCTTTATGAAAAATGTTAAATCCAATGTTCAATTCAGCGATGTGTCGTCTATCATCGATCAAAATTTCAGCTCTCTAGCCACTGTCATTTTTGAGTTTACTCACGGACAAGGAGACCCTCTAAAATTTACTGAAAGGGCGATATCTTCCGACCTGAAGTGATTTTTTTTTTTCAAAATTGAGTCGGGGGTACTTCAGATAGAAACACATAATCTCTGAAAATTTGAACAACATCGATCTAGCCATCTCTGAGAAATCTTCTGCACAAAAATTGTAAAGAAAAAAAAGAATAATAAAAGTGAAAAAGAAACAATAGAATAATAGAAGGGTCTTCCGTTGGAGACGGAAGACCCTAATAATAGGGAAAAAGAAACCGAACCAAAACAATACGGTCTTCCGTTGGAAACGGAAGACCTTAATAAAGACTGATATCTATTTGATAAGATTTTATGTTAGGCTGTAAAAACTGAAAAAATTTCCGTTTTTAAATCAAATATTTAACGTGAGTTAAACTTTAAGGATTGCTACCTCCTAGTGACAGATTTTTTACTCACTTTAATTGTATTCTAAACTTTCAAGTCGTGTTTGTTCACGGTAGAATTGTCATAAATATTATATAATTTCCAAATGCGCTTAAAGTTTACAAAAAACTTGTTCTAAAAAAACCTTTTAAGCAAAAAACTTTATAACCACGTGTTTTATTTTTTTTCTCATGGGTTTGTCTAAATGCTGTTATCTGATTTGTCAGAAGGGTTAGCGCCTTGTTTATTCTGCGTATTAATAGTAATTCACAGTTATCGTTCTTGACTTCCTTATTTAGAAATCGTCCAGACCTGTACAATGTAATTTGCAATTGTAAAACAATTACACTTAATAAAATCATAAAATAACAATGTATTTTTTATCTTGACAATTGAATTTGGAATGCACAAATAATTTATTCATTCAGATTACCAAACATTAAAAAGATTTGGACAAAAAAAATACTTCAAACAAGCAGATAGAGAGATAAACAGACAATGTGATTCGAGGATATCCCAATTTTTGTTTTGAAGAATAGAACAAAGTTTATCATTCAGTGTGTAGTTACCTTAACTCTGAGGCAAGCCTTGGTTCTCGGGGTTTGTAAATCTATATGAGAAAGGCAAACTGTATATTGAACCTGTAAAACAAATATTCATACGGTAAATATTTTCTAGGCATAACTTAATTTAAACTTAAAATAGAGTGAATACAAGTCTTACGTTATCAAAAGCCAGAAATGGCTTACATTTTTTTGAAATTATTTTTTTTATATTTTGATATTATCTGGCATATAAAATATCCTATTGTTGAAAAGCCCGGAAAATTTAAGATATTTCCGACTTGGTTCTCTAGCTATAGAGTACCGATCGAACACAACCTACATGTAATAGAAAGTGAAACGGCAGTGCACCCCGGGTTCGCTCTCTGGGTCCGCTTCGGGTTCACTCTGGGTCCCCGAGCTAACCCGGAGCGCACCCAAAGCGAACCCTTAGCGGACCCAGAGCAAAGCCAAAGTGGACCCAAAAGAGCGACCCAAAAGAGCGACACAAAAAATCAGTAGCGGTCCCAGATGACGAACACACGTGCGGTATTTCTTTACAGAGCTGTTTATCAGGATTTGCGATTAACCAATCTGCGCGTCAACCGATCAAAAGAGCATATTGATCTGTCGATTGGGATAAAGATCGGACGTGTTGATTTAATTCGATATAAATCCAAACATTGCTCATACCATCAAAATGTGTAAATGCACAGTGTTAATCTATTATGATTATTAAAATGTTACGTTGCATTTATTTATTTTAATTCTCCGAGTTGTATTTTATTGCGTGGACCCTGCGGTTCAACAGGATGCCATGGGGCAAACGACAGGCTACGCATGCGCGAATATGCTGGAGAGTTCGCACGTTAGGCAAATTGCCCGTAGAATAATTCGAGTTAGAATCAATGTCATTTATTGGCAAATCGCGCATATCGCATCTATATATTTAGGGGCAGATCCGAATTCATCTCTTATACGTATACTTTTATTGATTCTGCATGTTTTATGGCACAAGCATTTCAAAAAGTAGGAAGAACCTGCGGTATATCAACAAATGTAACAAATGTAACTTATCAACTTAAATGAAAAACGTCATTCAACGACTAGTTAAAGCATTTTAAAGATTAAACAAGTTTTCACCAGCATTAATTTTGTGAAACAAGGCTCGCAAAATAATTTGATATTTCAGTCATCCAATTACCGTCTAATAGAGGTCAGTAGCAACGGTTTTTAATGTGGGGGGGGGGCTCTGACAAAAAATCTGAGTACTTCAGAGCTGTGCCACACGTGAGCAATCAGATCTATTTTACCATGATACATTTTTTCGTATAAATCGGAGATAAAATTAAACAATTTTGCTTTGAGACTACAAACCATTTGCGTCGGAAGCAAATTGAAAGGGGGAGTAGGCTAAGTGTAAAAAAACAAACTATACCTTCATAAAAAACCTGACAAGCAAAAAAAAAACAAACAAACAAACAAAAAAGAGAAATGTCCTTTTCCTAGAAACACAAACCTACGCAGAATGTTCAATGTCTCTACTAAGTATATATTTGGAAAAAGGGGGGAACCCCCCCCCCCCTTGAATATTCACTACACCTAGATTTTTTTATATTGAATTTCGGTTAGAAACACATGTATATGGTCCACGTATTGCAGTCCTTTCGTAAAGGATAGCGACTTGTATTTATATATTTATTTTCTTTTTTTTTTATTCAAGCAATTGATAAATTATATATTTGAATTTTCCACGTAGAATGATGCATGAATATATCTAGTTTTTTTTATACCAGTATTTAAAGTCCATTGATAAATATATTGGGTAAATACATCAGTCAATGCGTACAAAAGGAAATCAATAATTGGTATTACAATTTTTACTGACAAAAAGAGGAGAGAAGGAAAATAGTTCGTCTTTGACAATTATTGTAAAATTTCATCATCTCAAGATACTGACAGTACAAAAATATTTACGTGCCTATTATTCAATTATTTTATTTCCATTTTCTCAATTTACGTGTTCCTTTAGATTATTCAAAATTCACATAAAAAATGTATCTTCTTAATTAGGCATGAAAAAATTACATGTACATATTCCTGTACAATTTTTGAAAAAAAAAATAGGTGCAGCAGGCTTATAGAAAACAATTCGATTATAGGATTTGGAGAACGACTCATGGAAATTTAAGAAAAAGTCATCAGGCTTTATTATTAAAATCGATTCTAATGATGAGAGTTTACATGTACAGTTTTGATCTCTCTCTCTCTCTCTCTCTCTCTCTTTGATCTTGATGTTTCCTGTATTTGTTTATATTCTAATATTTTGAAGTATTTTTCAATTTCATTGATGTGTGTGTGTGGGGGGGGGGGGGGGGTTACATGTATATTAATATATTCTTATCGGGACGGAAGAACAATTATTATTTATCATTTTATGTTTTTCATACTGCTTAAAATTCATAATTATGAGCGTGACAAAGATCTGATATAGTTTTATTTTTCTTAAATGTCCGGTAAATATTTATTTCGAACTTTTAATGTGTAACTACTATAAATGAAATCTAAATATATCATGTGTACAAAAGGTTAATTTATAGATGCGATATGCAAACATTTAAACTACGATTTACCAAAATTTAGGAAATAACAAATATAATTTCAAACTATTAAACTATGTAACGCATGAATTTGAATGTATTTGTTTAGATGCTTTCGCCAGTTTCACTTGTACACCATTCAAAATCAATCAAACATCCTTTTCTTCCTCTTTTGTTTTTGTTTTCACGTTAGGACTAAAGAAAAATAAATTCTTAATAGCCCGCTGTTAAATGACTTGGAATTTCTTGGGATGGCAGTAAGCAGTCAGCAGTTGGCAGTAAGAAGTTGGCTGTCGTATATGGCATTCCATATCTAGGAAAGGTATTATTGAAGGAAAAATTGTGAACGTGTTTTTTTTTTCTTTTTTTTTCTTTTTTTTTTTGTTTGTTTGTTTGTTTTTTGAAGGGGGATTTAACAGAGCAGAACTTAATATAAACAACTCTTTTGAATAAATGTACATTTGAGTTTAACTTCATATAAGTTATTGAAATTGCGGTTTTATCTGAGTATAACAAGGGCATTAAAAATAAACACTGTTTCATATTATTCACATATGATTTCTGTTTCATTATCATTTTCATGTGATCACTGTCAAAATATTCATATGATTCTCATATAATAACTGTTTCATATGATTCTCATATAATCATTGTCAAAATATGCACATGATTCTCATATGCAGGGACTTTTATTTGTGAATCACATATTCATTACTTCATATGCTTTTAATATAATGCATTCATATGTTTCAAATATGATTTGCCACATATCACCTTCAAATAATTGTATATAGGAGGGGTGATCAAATAGTTCGCAAACTATCTCAGTCTATATTTACAAAACCACAATTCAGATAAGACTGATATTTAACATCTAGAGAGTCATACAGATGTTCTTTTAAACATTTGTAATGAAATGTTTTGCTCAATGTTTGTGACGTGATATTGTGAAAATGACGTGAATATGTAGATTACATGTACTTGTGACGAAAAATGGTTGACTCAGTCTCATTCGAGCAACGACCGGTTGTAAAGTGAAACATATATCTAAGAAGTTCCTTTTCAAGAACCACATGATAATTTGTACACGGTTTATAAAGACAAAGGGCTTGCCCTAAAATTTGTCACTAATTGAATTTTTTGTTTAAGAGAAGAGGGGGGGGGATATTTTTAAAATTGAGGTTTGTTCGGTTACCCAGTAAGAACAAGATGGGGAATAGATGTGTAATTCGTTACGCAGTTCGAAATTAAAGATTGCCAACTTACAGTTTAAAAATTAGTTGAATACTTTTACAATAAAATAATTAATAAATATCTTATATATCGTTTGATTTAAACTTAAAACATATTAGATATAATAAAAAAAGATAGGCACCCATACTTTATTCACACTGAATAAACGACTACTCAAAGACAGAGGACTTGGGTTTTGATGGTTACCGTGCTCAATTTGGAAAGGGATATCATTATCAACCCAAACTATTGCCGAGATTTTGCTATTTCTGACAAAGTGACTGTTTTTATTAAAACAACTTGCATGTTAAGAATGTATTTATATGAGTCGGAAAAATCCTTAAGTTTCCTTAACAGAAAGCTACGGAGCATGCCACATGACTGCCTATATCATGTTATCCGCACATGGACAGAATGTTTGCAGATGTACGTTAAAATTTGCGAGACCTTCTTTGAAAAATTCTCAACATTGTAATACTATATCATTTTTTATTTGGAAGTCTTTCAATTAGTTCGCAAACTTTTTTTATCACCGCTCGTGAATATGATTCTCAAATAATCCACACATAATCCTCATTTGAAAGGCAATGCATATTTGTTGATCATCTGTAGTGAAATTGCTTATGTATGCAGTACATGGAAGTGCGTTCATGCACCTAAAAAGTCCACTCCATTCATGGAAATTGCCCAAGATTGACGAGCTTTTTCATGGATTTCCCATGATTGGGCTTTGTTATTACGACAAAGTTCAACATAATCCTATAATTACTCATATTAATGTAAAATGTCAACTGTAAATATTGAAACTAGAAAGACTGAATGAAATTCCAAATATTTGTAAATATTGTAAAATTCCTATCATATCAGTTGACAACTTCGTAATAAAATGACTGCTCAACTCGAATAAAAACTAGACTTTTGATAAAGCCTACCTTTATACCTACCTTTGTACCTACGTGATATTAATTATTTCAAAATGGCGGGGCCCATGCACAAAAACGAAAGTACGAAACAATGTTCAGTAAAGGAATACATACAATAACCCTTTAAAATGATCATAGTTAATCAACATGTAAAGCAAATATCCTCATTGCACTTGGTTATCAAAATTGCAAACCTTTCTTCATGTAAATCCACAATCTGGTGGACATGGGTGTTTCTGATTACCTTATATATATATATATATATATATATATATATATATATATATATATATATATGCGTGCCTCATTATTTCTCTGGTAATTTTAAAGATACGGAAGACAGTTTTTATATAAATTAAAGGACATGCTAGTAAGGTAGTTATAAAATAAAGGTAATATCTTCAACAGACAAGAATTAATTTTATCAATCTTATCTTGGTTTGTAAGAGTCATTTTTTTAAATGTGTTTTAAAGGAACTTGGCTTAAAATTTGCATCTAAAAATTATACTTATACTTAATGTTCACTTTCTAAAATGGACTTTTTTAAAATCGGATATATTTAACTCATTTAGCATTCCAGTCTAAAAAGGTAGGTTTGATCTACTTTATCTTAAATTCATAAAAATCCTTCGCCTACAAAAATAGATACACTTCCAGCCCTAGCAAGTCAAACGATATAGCATTTATAATAAATATTGCCTTTTTATTTTCTCGTTCTTGTCACAATGTGCCCTATACGAATTAAGTCTTATTTTATTGCAAACTAAACCAATATAACAAACGAGTATCGTGCTTGGACCAATTTCTCTTTAAAAGAATATCCGATCATGATGTCAGATCAACAACTCGTCAAGGACATTTACGACAAAATCTCCTTTTGAGATTGTCAGTACAGTGGTAATTGCCACATTCTAGTAAAGGTTGATGAAAAAACAGCTTTAATGAAGAAATTTATGAAGTATGTTGTTGACTTTATGATATAAAACAGAATTGCAATTTATTTGGAGTCACGGCGATAATGAGCCAGGTAGATGCCTGATATATATTGCAAACAAACGTTTTCTAAACCTGTCTTATATGCAGAATTTATGATACATGACATATATACCCCTGTAACTTGGGAATAGATTGATTGATTGATTTATATTGTTTAACGCCGAGGCGGCAATATTTCAGCCATATTTCGGCGGAATAGAAATTGCAAACATTCAATCGTGCTCAATATTATCAATTGATTTCTTTGAAAACAAGACAACAGGACATACCAGGCTTTGGTGAGATATGTAAAAATAAATACAAAGCTCGCCAAGTTGTGTTGAGAAGTACTGTATGTATGCCTTAATTACCGTTGTACATGTATTAATTCAGCTTTATCAGCATGTAAATATGAGGCCATACGACCCGGATTTGTTAATCCTGAGCAGTCAGGAAAAATGAACTCTCCCCCAAAACAATAAGATCCAATGTCTTTCATTGTTACATTTTATCCATAAAATACTACAATTATTTGACTACACTACAAGGAAAATTGGGGAAGAGTGAGGAGATGGGGGGGGGGGGGGGGGGGGGGGGGCAACCGGGCAGTGTTCGGTGAACAATGTTGTATAGTACAATTTTGTTTTGAAAAAGTGCTGGTATTACAAGCTCAAATTTCGATCAAAATTATCATGCATAATGCCCGTGTATTAATTTCTGATATTTAAACACACCAAACGCCGTAATTCGTCATTTATTATCCCCCCACGTTTGAAAAGTGGGAGAGTATATAGTAATCGGTATATCCGTCCGTCCGTCTGTCTGTTACGCTTTGGGGTATCCATCTTTTATCCGCAACTCCTCTCATACCACTGAATTCAATTTAATGAAAATTTCACAGAATCGTTATTACTATTGTCATTGTGCACCTATTATTTTACTTTTTGATCCAACACATATTTTGGGTTTTCCCTAGCAAAACATGGACACTGCCATTTTATACATATGGTAGTCGGGGTATCATTTATTGAGCTCATTCAATTTTTATTTATTGTATCAGATCCATGTTAAAATCGCGTAATATAAGATTGAGGGGTGATTTGAAAACAATCACAAGATGAAACACATCTTTTAAGTCCGGCTTAATGGTGGCTTATAGGTCCTTAATGGTGGTTTAATGGTTGTCTTTAAGTCACCATTAAGTCAGCATTAAGCACCTTTAAGTAACATTTACACCACCATTAAGTTACCAGTAAGCCAACTCAAAGTCCTTAATGGGTGCTTAAATGTGGCTTAATGGTAGCTTAATGGTGGCTTGCAGGTCCTTAATGGTAACTTTTAGACCACCATTAAGTCTCCATTAAGCTACCATTAAGCTAAACTTACAGGTGGTTAATATCCAAACTCCATTAAGCTACCATTAAGCCACCATTAAGCCACCATTAAGCCACATTACGCAGTCGATAATATTGTTTATATGGGTGAAAAATTATTTTATAGTGATTTGTTATCAATATTATAAATGTAGAGTTCGCTTATATTTTGATTTGGTAAAAATAATGAAAAAGAACGAAATTCAAAATCCAAAAATAAAAAAAAAAACGCCATAGTCGGAGCGCGATCCCATGACCTTACGGTTGGAAGGCGAAGGCCTTATCCATTAGGCTACCGCCGCTCTTAAATAATCTAACGAAAATATTAAATATGAAACCTTTATTTTTTTCAAAATTTGTTTGGACTTGTAAAGGTATTTACTAGTATTTTGTTGAACATTTCCAAAAGTCTTTAATTGATTTATTAATCAAAATATAAACAATTCTATTTGTGGATCTTAACACATTAATATACATTTCTACACTGAGTTCGGCTTTTAGATTGATGTAATGTTATTGAGTTCTTCGCTCTGTTATTCGAAAATTTTCGAAATGTAAGCATTAAATCATGATTGAAAATAAATTAATTATAGATAAAACACAAAAGTCTATCATCGAAAAAGAAAGAGGAAAAAACAGATTCTACTATTATTTTTAATATACTGCGGATATTAACGGTTTCTGTGTCAACAATTTAGTGACAATCCTCGCGTAAGAGTTACCTGGTTAATTACGTTTACAAAAACTTTTTTTTAGAATATCATATTCAGTTTCAATTCTTTTTGTATCATAATGGATATCAAAATAATTGACCTTTTACGATGAATCATATTTTCTTTATTTTTTATATGCTTGCGTTTAATTTAGATTTTTTAAAAATAATTGATCATTAAAATCTGTCAGTGTACGTTGTGTATGTATAGTTTCCTGTTAGTTAACCGGGGACGGGGGACTCCTAATTAAGGTCTATTGTCTGACTAGTAGGTTTACTGTACACTGATCATCTGTTAATCTTACCCCGTTTCTCAATGTGTATATATCTGGTTGGAAGTAATGTTTAGTCTGATCGACCGTTCCTCTGAAAATCGATTTTGAAATAACAATCATTGAAGACCGACTAGATTTTGACAGATACTTACCGCTGCATTATTAAAAAAATACCGAATTAATTAGAATTATTCATGATGTAAAAGCCATTAAAAAGTTTTTTATGGTAAAAGTCAATCTTTGAAAACTAAACATTTGTATACCAGTACCCCCCCCCCCCCAAAAAAAAAGGACAGAGATTTTTTTCATGATATTATATAGTTATATTCCTTTGAATTCTGTAGCGGAATGTTTCTTTTAACACATGAAATAAAAATACCATTTTGTTTTTTAAAAAGTAATATATATTTTGTGTTCATGAATATAGATAATTTTAAGAACAAATTGATTTTTGGTATTGTAAATTTAAGATAATTCACAAGGACTTGCTCACGGTGTGTAATAATTATTTATTTTTAAAAATCATATACACTAAAAATAGAAACAACGCATGTAATAATGATTTATTTAAAAAAAATAATATACGGTTCTGATACGGGATGTCTTGTTTTATTATCTAAGAAAAAAATAGACACCTCGAGCAAGCCCATGTGGCTATTAGCTAACTTTGTTCCCAGTGATCAAGTTTATGCATGTTGACAAAAAACTCGTAGAAATTATGATCGAGACAGAATTATGAGTTGGAATAGATTTTGCGTAAATGATATTAAAATAACTAAAAGTTGGTTCAAAGATTCTATATAAGATGCGTAGAAGTTTAATGAGGGTTGACCATTAAGTCACCATTAAGCTCAGCTTAATAATGGCTTAATGGTAGCTTAATGAAGTTTGGACATTAAGCACCTGTAAGTTGCAGCTTAATGGTGGCTTAATGGTGGCTTAAAGGAATTAACTTCTTTAAGCCACCATTAAGTCACCATTAAGCTACCATTAAGCGATTGCTTAAAGGTGGTCTTTTGTCTTGTGCATCTATCCCTCTGTATTCAATAATAAAGAAATGAAATAGGAATTACATAGATTACATGTTTAGTATGTATTGGTCCCTGCTGACAAAGCAGGTAATAATGTTGTCTTTGTTTGTAAGGCTCATTATATAAATTGTATATAAGATGAACTTGGATTTAATTATTCAAGTAGTAATCCAACTTATACTTATAATTCCCTTTCTAGGGAAGAAATTCTTCATAATCGTATTGTCAGCTTTGATTATTTCTAGTATCCTGCAGAGCCCAAATTAATTTGAACTACTATATATACATTGGATAAGAATCTGTACAAACAAAAATACATTGCGGGTTCCAGTAAATGTTCAACCATGCATCTTTCTTTACTCCTCACTAAGATATTGACAGTAGTAAGGGAATAACTTCAAGAGTACTATGCATCAATATATTTAAGAAGTTCCAAAGAACTTTTGGACAAAATAAGAAATCACAAAAATTTACCAAAATCAATAGCTTAAAAACTTACGACTTTCCAACTTGATACACAATCATTCCCCATGATAAATTAAAGTTCAGGGCTTTTTATATCATTGAAAGCTGCTTTTTCAATAATATGGAACTCGTTAATTTACTTTTATGGTCATTGATCATTGGTCATTTGCAAAATTATTTTGTTAAAACACATTCTGATTGCATACACAAGTACTCTGAAGTTGACATTAAAAAATGCTTAAGTTTCTGATTGACAATATCTATGTAGTTTTGTAGACCAGGTCTTCCAATAATTAACTGGGATCCCCATGGGTACAAATTGCGCTCCATTATAAACAGACCTATTTTTGTGTTTATATGAAACAGGGTTCGTGTAAACTCTTATGCGTAATAAGAAGAAAACACTTGCTGTGG